CAACTACACCTAAAGGCTTCGAGTGAGCGAATGCGTTGGGATTTACGCTGCTTTAAGCAATATTCCAGAAATATCACGGCAGGGGACACCCAAAATGGGCCTCAGACATTGTACTAAAGTCAGGAATGGAACCCGGGTCTTTGGTGTGAGGAACCTACGTTTTAACCACTCTGCTACCCTACAGCCCCCTAAGGCTTCGAGTCCATTCAACACCTCCCTTACACAACCTCAGCAGATCCCGGTTTCTTTAACTCAGATACAAGAGGATAGCATTATTTAGTGTATCATCATGTGCTCAAATGTGGATTTAACCTATCAATTGAATTATAGTAGACACTATAACTAAAAATATCTTGCAGTTTAATTGGTGAGAAACCTGATAATACACAAGAAGATCGCTCTATAAGGATGGGGGGGGACACAAGAAGATCGCTCTATAAGGATGGGGGACAACAATATTGTTCAGACATCATTTCAGTGTATAATTGCTAAAAATTCAGAATGATTTTGTCTTTGAATTTCAGAGAATGAAAATGGTGCCAAACTTTTGACAGATACAATAAAGACTGGTTCATTGTCAGATGTTTTCAACAATGAAAACATGATCAAATCAGTGTATAATGTATTAACACATGGAAAATGTTAAGATAACTTTCATAATTGTTTGGATAATCTTGACTGACAGTACGTAATGATCGGTGAATATTGTGTGCTCCCCACCAGATTCTAGAGAATGCTGAGTGTGAGAGATGACAGGGGAGTGATGGTGGGAGAAGCAAGGGGGAGGTGGGAGGAGACAGGGGTGGAAGTGGGGGTGGAGTGTTTGTTAGGTGGGGAGCAGAAAGAGTAGCCTGCTGGAAGGATTTGGGGACAAAGCGAGAGAGAGAGAGGTGTCAGAAGATTGAATAACTTAGAGATTTGGGGACGTGGCAGGCACAAGAAGCTTGAAGGATTTGGGAAGAGGGGACAAGTCAGAAGCTTGAAGGATTTGGAAAGTGGAGAGAAGTCAGAAGTCAGAAGCTTGAAGGATTTGGGATGTGGGGACAAGACAGAAGCTTGAAGGATTTGGGATGTGGGGACAAGTCAGACGATGGAAGGATTTGGGATGTGGGGACAAGTCAGACGATGGAAGGATTTGGAATGTGGGGACATGTCAGGAGCTTGAAGGAATTGGAATGTGAAGAGGGAAAAAGAGCCACAGGTCTGAAAGGTAAGTGGAGTAGCAGAAGCCTGAGGCTTGGAGAATTTTGGGATTGTACAGAGGGGTTGAACTGTCTGAGATAGGGTGGTGTCAATCATAGTGATTTAAAGGATTTGTGTTTAGGAATTTTCTAAAGAATAAATAGCGCTTGGGAGCAAGGAGTCAGTAAATGATCCACCTTTGTAGAAAAGAGATGGTCAATAGAACATGGACTGTCAGGGATGATTTAGAATGGGTGATTTCAGGAGATGGTCTACAACATGTGGACTTTCTGGGCTGGTTTAGAATGTGGGATTTTAGGAGATGGTCTACAGAATGTGGACTATCTGGGCTGGTTTAGAATGTGGGATTTCAGGAGATGGTCTACAACATGTGGACTATCTGGGCTGGTTTAGAATGTGGGATTTCAGGAGATGGTCTACAGAATGTGGACTATCTGGGCTGGTTTAGAATGTGGGATTTTAGGAGATGGTCTACAACATGTGTGTACTATCTGGGCTGGTTTAGAATGTGGGATTTCAGGAGATGGTCTACAGAATGTGGACTATCTGGGCTTGTTTAGAATGTGGGATTTCAGGAGATGGTCTACAACATGTGGACTTTCTGGGCTGGTTTAGAATGTGGGATTTCAGGAGATGGTCTACAACATGTGGACTTTCTGGGCTGGTTTAGAATGTGGGATTTCAGGAGAAGGTCTACAGAATGTGGACTATCTGGGCTGGTTTAGAATGTGTGATTTCAGGAGATGATATACAACATGTGTACTATGTGGACTGGTTTAGAATGTGGGATTTCAGGAGATGGTCTACAACATGTGTACTATCTGGGCTGGTTTAGAATGTGGGATTTCAGGAGATGGTCTACAGAATGTTGACAATCTGGGCTGGTTTAGAATGTGGAATTTCAGGAGATGATCTACAGAATGTGGGTAGGAGTACTCTTCAGAATGGCTGGTTTAGAATGTGGGATTTCAGGAGATGGTCTACAGAATGTGTACTATCTGGGCTGGTTTAGAATGTGGGATTTCAGGAGATGGTCTACAGAATGTGGACTATCTGGGCTGGTTTAGAATGTGGGATTTCAGGAGATGGTCTACAGAATGTGGACTTTCTGGGCTGGTTTAGAATGTGGGATTTCAGGAGATGGTCTACAGAATGAGTACTATCTGGGCTGGTTTAGAATGTGGGATTTCAGGAGATAGTCTACAGAATGTGGACTTTCTGGGCTGGTTTAGAATGTGGGATTTTAGAAGCTGGTCTACAGAATGTGAAGAGTCAGTAGATGACCTACAGAACGCGGACTGAAAGGGAAGTTTAGAATGGGGTTTCAGCAGATCATGAGGTGGCAGAAGGTGTCAGTCTGTGTCACAGTCTGAAAGTCAAGCTTTAACACAAACTGAAGAAAATAATGGCAATCAAGATATTGAGTGTATCACAGAAGCAATGCAACGGCTCAAGCAGCAAGCATAAGTCGAGACTGCTCAAATGAACGCTTCCTATTTTATAAAAAGAACAAACCATTCTGGGAATTTCTAAAAAGTTTGATTTTAGGACTCATATATTCATTTTGAGCAGAGTTAGTAAGCAATGGTTATTAATACAAGAATATTGTCAACATTCCACACAGAACAAGTCCACATGTCACCCTGGAATCTCTCATAGAATGCCAACTGGGCTTGTTTTTTCCAATATCTGCATGGCACAGCACTGGTTAAACTTGAATTAATAAATCATTTGACGGCCACTGCCACTATTGCCATTATAAAATATCTTTCCAATTTTTATTAACTAATGACTTTGAGACAGCTAGATGTAAGTAATTCCAAAGTAATTGCTAATTTGGTGGCTCAATATATGTTGGTATCTTTCATCCGAAGCTGTTGCTGATGGCTGGGTCCAGAACAGAATGAGTAATACCTGTCTGTGACCGTTAATTTTCATTATCCATAGGATAAAAAACAAACACTAAAACCACTGCATTTAATAAATTATGATTAAATCAAGTACAAGTTGCTCTTTTTTGTACAATATTTGCTGTGTAAACATGGATTTACTTTGACCACAATAAAGATAAATATTTCTGTTTGATGATACTGAGGCTTGGACGATGCTGGTGGGATCCAGAAACTCAAATCGTTTTATTTCCTAAAATGCAATAATCTAGAGCTGAAAACAAAATGCCTTGTACAAAATCAATTCCAAAACCGATATTCCAATTAATGACTGACTGACTGAGGTTAGTTTTACGCCGCTTTTAGCAATAGTCCAGCAATATCACGGCGGGGGACACCAGAAATGGGCTTAACACATTGTGCCCATGTGGGGAATCGAACCCGGGTCTTCGGCGTGACGAGCCAACGCTTTAACCACTAGGCTACCCCACCGCCCCTCCAATTAATGAACTTGGCAACAAAATGCAGGTCCTATTTGTTCTCCCGTAAATTCAGAATTAATCACCTATACATTGAAAAATTCACACTTTACACCTGCTTGAACTCTGCTCTAAACATGCACAGGGAAGTGCGTTTCAGGGAGCGACAGCCAAGCTATATGAAGCTCTTTGAAGAATTAATGGGTGATGAAAATAACTGATTCAGTGACTTTATACTTTGATAAACTTAATGAAGAAAAAAACGAGTTCTGTGGACCGTCAACTTCTTGATAACAGTGTTAGTATCTACACCGAAACATTGTATTCATTGCAATAACGAAGTTGACTATCTTTACAACATCTAAAATGCCTCTCAAAGAAGAATGATCGTCATAAATCTCAAAACTATCCCCAGTTCTTTGATAAGTCCGAAACTATACATCAAGATGACGATAACAATAGGAGATATTTGCTATGAATGACAAGCAATGTGATATATGACATATATACCATACTTATATTGGAATCAGGCCTCAGACTAGTGACTGTGAGGAAGCTTAAAAGCATGTTTAAATAGTGTCTCATTTGTAACATTCATAACTGTTTAATTGTACAGGACTTCTAATTCTGATGTAAAAATGAATTTATCGTGAAATTCTTCAAAGGCATTTAGAAGTTGGTGTAGTAATACAAGACAAATCTTATGGATAACAACTTCTTGATTTATTTTACACAATGTTTCTGGGCTGGTTCTTGCCCCTTCGTCAGGTGGATTATCCAGGGGCAAGAACCAGCCCAGAAAACCACCTGACGAAGGGGCAAGAACCAGCCCAGAAAACCACCTGATGAAGGGGCAAGAACCAGCCCAGAAACGTTGTGTAAAATAAATCAAGAAGTTGTTATCCATAAGATTTGTCTTGTATTATCGTGAAAGACTCAATAATTCCATTTTTCCAATTAACAGTTCTGAAATCAATACCAGCTCTATTACTGGGTGCCAAAGACAACTGTGACAGAGAGAAAATCCAAATTCATAATTAATTTTAAAAACTGATAATTCTATTTTACCAATTCATAATTATAAAATCGATAACAGCTAGTGTAATGGAGGGCAAAAGCAACTGCAACTAAATCAGAAAGTTTAAAATATTAAGTTTAAAGACGGTTATCTTTAACTTATTAAATAACAATTCTAAAATTGATAGCAGTTATAATAATGGATGCCAATAGCAATTGTGACAGAATCAGAAATGTTAATTAATTATTTACCATTTTAAAATGTATACCTCTATGAGTGGATGGCAAAAGACAATAATGGCAAAATATATGCTTGAAAATAGAAAATAGAAGATTCCAGAGTGACAATGTCGGACTGCATGATCAACCCGCTCCTTGGGTGATGTGACACACTACGTTACAGGCAACTCACTAGCTTGAGTCAGCTCCACACCGGGCGGGGCTGACGAGGGTTGTGACGGTGGCTGCGGCTGAGGTGGCGCGGCCGGCGGTTGGGAGGGGGAGAGGGGTTGGGGGGAGAGGGGGTGTTGGAGGGACACGGCCCCTGCCCCCGGACCCAAGGGCGTCGCCGAAGGGACACTGGTAGGCTGCTGGTGCTGGACTGTTGTTGGAGGGGCCGGTGACCCTTGACCTGGAGGGACCAGTCATTATAGGCATGTGTCCAGTGAGGGAGAAATCATTGACACCAAGTTAAAAGGTGACTGAGTTTCAAGGCAAACTTTGAAGACAAACACTGAAAATTATTCATTCTTTTTCAGATGATTATTTGGAATCTTCTAAATAGTGCAAATGGTATCAAGGAAAACCTGAGTGACATGAAATGAATTTCATCTTCTGTGTTTTCTAATATGTCTGTTAGGACTGATACTTGTACCATTTTTTTTTCAGAATTTTTAAAATAATTCTTTATAATAGAATGTCAGATGTCAGGAAATGTATGCTTTATACACTGAATCTGTGCCACAAACCATCACTCAAAATATTCATGAACCCAAGCGTTTTTCGTTCAGTAAAAATGTACACATGAGGGTGAGTGAGTGAGTGAGTGAGTGAATAAGTGATAGAAAAACATTTATGCCGCTTTTAGCAATATTCCAGCAATATTCCAGCAATATCACGGCAGGGGATACCCGAAATGGAAATCATCACGGGAAAAGGTCACTTTCATTTTCATAATCAGGATAACTGAACAACAAAAATATAGTGAAAATTCTTGTAGTTTACGTTTTTACTTTTTTTTTCAAACTAAAACACACAATAAATTTGCACTACCTTTGGGACTGCAACATCAGGAAAATTGAAACAGTGAAATTTCTTGTATTTTTTGTCAATGCTCATAATTTTTAAACTAAAAATCAGAAAGATATTTGGTTTATCTTTGGGACTGTATCGTCAGGAAAACTGAACTAAAACATTGAAAATTCTTATACTTTCTTATTTATCATTTTCAAATTAAAATTGGAACGATACTTGGTTTATCTTTGGGTCTGCCTATCACTCAGCACCCCTTTGTAGTGCAAAACACAAGACATGTTCATTCATCGGCAAGACAGTGCGTAGATTGACAGAGATCACTGCATTCTATATATCACACAATTTTACCACAAAAAATAAATCTGAATTTTACCACATTTATACAACCACAAATAAAACTGACAACAATCACATATGTATGTATCAATATCAAAATCATATTTCAAAAGAATCTAAAACCAGGTGATTCAATAATGAACGACATATCAACACAGATATTTTCACATTGGACAGAACCCACAACAAAGATCAGGTCATTCAAGGGAGTCCAACTATACGACCAAACTTGAGCAGCCACGTTAGACAGCAACTTACCAAAGCGACGACGACGTAGACATCATCACCTGACAATCTCAAGCAGCCATTTCAACAATATCTCATAATAACGTGGCAACATAATCCATTCTATACCATGCTACTGTCGGTGAGTGAAAAACTGAAAACTTCAAAAGTCAGTTGGAAAATAAACTTACAGAAATGGGAAAAACTGTTTGTCTTTTCTGCAAAAATATATTTTGTGCTCATTCAAGTAGAATTTTCTTTGTTAAAAAGGAGCAAATATTTAAACACCATACGATGGTAGTCTAGGTCCAGACAATCCAGTGATTGCTGTCATGACCATCGCAGTCTGGATACGTGGACATGCATCAACCAAGTCTCCATGACATATCAGGTCGCCTGTTACGACAAGCATGGTATCTACTTGGTCACACCACTGGTTTAACAACTAAAATAGATCTTCCATTGCTTTGAGAGCAGGGTGTGTTTTGCAATTGTTTGTTATCTCAATGAAGAAGAAAACATACAGCGATGAAGGTAATTTTTACCGTCGGCTGAGTTTGAACTGCTGACACAATGATCATTATCACGAGAACAATGCATCCTCACACACGCAAGGGAGGTAACTCTGTACTGCAAGCTCTAATTGATCAACTGTCAACATATGTCCCTCCCATCACTGAATATTGCCATGGTAACTGTCGTATCTTACAATCTGTCCTAATGGCTTCAAACTCAATGCCAACATCTTTGCTGTTACAAAACGGTCTCATAACGCTTTGTTCAATGATGCTAGGGGCAAATGTCAGGAATGTCTTAAAATCCTATTGGCTCCTGAATTCCCAAACAAAATATCAGACACACAACCGACAGTCAACGCTACCTCTCACAGTATGGGTGCCAGGTCTCAATCACCCAGGTGATGATTTGATCATAGAAACAGCTGTCTTTTGATGAACATAACCATCTACTGCAGGATACTTTATCACCAAACTCATCAAACTATATCATCTTTTCCACCACAAGCGAAGGGATTATTCACCCGACTGGTGGTCGTTCATTGTACAACTCAGGGGTCTACAACCTAAAGGGTTCTGGCAATAATTTTGACAAAATCTGTAAAGTATTTCACTCAATCTTTACTCAATCAAAATCCAAGTCAGCTCCCAAATATCAAATGACCCATTCACCCATTCTAAAAGAAAACTCTGTATCTACTATTCCTCTGTGAAGTCAATGTACTTCCTGAACATAAGTCATTCTGTGCACAAACCCCTCCCCAACCCATGCCAGACAAGACAATTGGTCTACCAGAGAAACACTCGCCAACTATGAGCCTATTGAAGCCTTCAGAGGGTGGATGTTGGACTGTCTGGTTGCCGTCAGATGAGGTCGACGCTCGGTCCATCTGGATCTCTCCTCCGTATTCATCCTTCACAAGTCGGCCAGGAGGACCTGAGAATAGTAACACGCTTCATTAACAACATTTATCTTCTAACAAACGCTTCCTCGGCAATATCACCTACCATTTACTGCCGTGTTTGAAGTGACCCCCATGAATAAGGTGACCCTGCTATAAAAATTCAAAATCAATGCTGATTTATATACCTGTCTATAATGTGACCTTCAAAGAATCACATCATCAGAGCGTACACCATCTCTAATTTGGTAATAAAAACTTGCTTGTATCTCCTTGTTTTTTAACCATTCTTGCCACTAACATAGTGCAACACCAAACATATGTTCTACTGCATTACATAGTCTTTTTCCTGCATAAATGTTTGTAAAATGTTTTCTGGAAACATCTAAAAAGTTTGGGCAAGGGGAGACAACACTGTATGCCACTGTGTACTCACACAGATCTTGAGGGCAAAGGGAGACAACACTGCATGACAACAACGTGTACTCACACAGATCCAAGTATTGGGCAAGGGGAGACAACACTGTATGACAATGTGTACTCACACAGATCTTGAGGGCAAAGGGAGACAACACTGCATGACAAGTATTCGCCACTGTGTACTCACACACACAGATCAACACTGCATGACAAGTACACAAGGGAGCAAGGGGAGACAACACTGTATGACAACATGTACTCACACAGATCCAAGTACTGGGTAAGGGGAGACAACAATGTATGACAACAACGGCTACTTACACAGATCTAAGTACTGGGTAAGGGGAGACAACACTGTATGACAACAACGTGTACTCACACAGATCCAAGTACTGAGCAAGGGGAGACAACACTGTATGACAACAAAATGTACTCACACAGATCCAAGTACTGGGTAAGGGGAGACAACAATGTATGACAACAACGTGTACTCACACAGATCCAAGTACTGAGCAAGGGGAGACAACACTGTATGACAATGTGTACTCACACAGATCCAAGTACTGGGCAAGGGGAGACAACAATGTAAGACAACGTGTATGCACACAGATCCAAGTACTGGGCAAGGGGAGACAACACTGTATGACAATGTGTACTCACACAGATCCAAGTACTGGGCAAGGGGAGACAACACTGTATGACAACGCGTGTATGACATGATGTGTACTCACACAGATCCAAGTACTGGGCAAGGGGAGACAACACTGTATGACAACATGTACTCACACAGATCAAAGTACTGGGCAAAGGGAGACAACACTGTATGACAATGTACTCACACAGATCCAAGTACTGGGCAAAGGGAGACAACACTGTATGACAATGTGTACTCACACAGATCCAAGTACTGGGCAAAGGGAGACAACACTGTATGACAACGTGTATGCACACAGATCAAAGTACTGGGCAAGGGGAGACAACACTGTATGACAACAACATGTACTCACACAGATCCAAGTACTGGGTAAGGGGAGACAACAATGTAGGACAACAACGTGTACTCACACAGATCCAAGTGAGCAAGGGAGACAACAATGTATGACAACGTACTCCACACAGATCCAAGTACTGAGGGAGACAACACTGTATGACAACGTGTACTCACACAGATCCAAGTACTGGGCAAGGGAGACAACACTGTATGACAACGTGTACTCACACAGATCCAAGTACTGGGCAAAGGGAGACAACACTGTATGACAACGGGTACTCACACAGATCCAAGTACTGGGCAAGGGAGACAACACTGTATGACAACGCAGTGACACACAGCAAAGAGTACTGGGCCAGGGTATGCACACGTACTCACACATGACAACAAGCGTGTACTGGCAAAGGAGACAACACTGTATAACCAAGTACAGGGCCAAGGATGACAATTTTGTATGACAACGTGTACTCACACAGATCAAAGTTGAGGGCAAAGGGAGACAACATTGTATGACAACAATGAGTATAGTCCGTTTGGCTCAAAAGCGGACCGATGAATTGCAATCTAACTCAATGAAACGCTGATCATAATCAAAACATCATACCCACACTGTGAGTTTTTTTCAGAATTTTTGTCCTAAAAATAAACAAGAAGACAAAGTCATCAATATCCCCCGCAATGGCAAAATACTCTTCATGATTATGTCTACGAGTTATGATTATGTCAAATATTTAGGTGTGTATATAGAAAAGTGGAAGGAGAGTATTGAAAGGTTTTTAAAGTTCTGCTCCAGAAAGCAGCACTATCACCAATTTCAGTCAAACTTGTTGCCATGGACATGCCAAAAATATTTTATTCAGAATTCCCAAACTACCAAAAGGCACCAGTACACCACCAGACTAATCTATGTGCCAAGTTTGGTGAAGAAATATTGAACGGTTTTAGAGTTCTGCTCCGGAAAAGAGCACTACTACAATTTCAGGCTAAGTCAAACTTGTTGCCATGGAAATGACAAAAATATTTTATTCAGAATTCCCAAACTACCAAAAGGCACCAGTACACCACCAGATCTATCTATGTGCCAAGTTTGGTGAAGAAATAGTGAACAGTTTTAGAGTTCTGCTCCGGAAAAGAGCACTACCACAATTTCAGGCTAAGTCAAACTTGTTGCCATGGAAACGTCAAAAATATTTTATTCAGAATTCCAAAACAACCAAAAGGCACCAGTACACCACCAGATCTATCCATGGACCAAGTTTGGTGAAGAAATAGTGAACAGTTTTAGAGTTCTGCTCCGGAAAAGAGCACTACCACAATTTCAGGCTAAGTCAAACTTGTTGCCATGGAAACGTCAAAAATATTTTATTCAGAATTCCAAAACTACCAAAAGGCACCAGTACACCACCAGATCCATGTATGTGCCAAGTTTGGTGAAACAAATATTGAATGGTTTTATAGTTCTGCTCCGGAAAGACAAATGTGCACGGGCGGACGGACGGACGCACGGACGGAGTCCATTTTAATACCCCCGCATTAAAATATTGACACAGTTCACTGTTTGTTACGAGGGAGGAGTGCAGAGAAATAAATAACTTTGTCTGTGAACGTGCTTCTCGAACACCTGGCTGTCCCTTTCTCTGAAGCACGTTCACAGACAAAGTTATTTATTCATTAACCTGTGCTGTGCCGTCTCCATCCGTTCTCGAACACCTGGCTGTCCCTTTCTCTGCACTCCTCCCTTGTAACAAATAGTGAACTGTGTCAATATTTTAATGATAGATTGTTAAACAACTTTTTTATTTTTAGGACAAAAATTCTGCAAAAAATTCACAGAGTGGGTATGATGTTTTGATTATGATCAGCATTTCATTGAGTATTTTATGTTTATTAGTTTTCGAGTTAGATTGCAATTCATCGGTCCGCTTTCGAGCCAAACGGACTATACTCACACTGATCAAAGTTGAGAGCAAAGGGAGACAACCCTGTATGACAACAAGATGTACTCACACAGATCTAAGTTGAGGGCAAAGGGAGACAACACTGTATGACAACAACGTGTAACCACACAGCACCGAGTACTGGGCAAAGGGAGACAACACTGTATGTCAACAACGTGTACTCACGCAGCACTAAGGCGGAGTACTGGTCCTTGGCTGAGTACTCACCTGCATGCTGTAGGGTAAGTCCTGACAGATCTGAAACAACAAGGGAGGTAATCCCTCAGTTGGATTCCAATACCAAATAGACTAAGTATTCGCTAAAACATTCAAAATCATTATCACCTCCTCCAATATGAGTGAGTGAGTGAGTTTAGTTTTACACCGCTTTTAGCAATATTCCAGCAATAACACGGCGGGGGACTTCAGCAATGGGCTTCACACATTGTGCATATCAGGGGAATCGAACCCGGATCTTCGGCGTGATGAGCGAACACCTTAACCTCTAGGCTACCCAACCACCCCCTACTAATATGAAAAGATTATGATGCAATAATAATCAGCCATCCACCAGGAAAGGAAACACTGCATGAAACATGTGTTGGAGGATCAAGTCCGAAAACAGTCTATTAGTTTGGTACGGCCTCGAACAAGCTTCACAAGCGAAACTAATCAACCGATTTGAGACTTTCTCCAACTTAATAACAAAGTCAACATTGTGTACATCTGGTATAGAGTTCCATTGGATCGAGTCAACTGTTATTGTAGAATATCCTATTACCCATGTCTCTCAAAACTCTCTGGGTGAACCTACTTCTATACAGTATACTGGACTTTCTTATGACTGAATTGAACAATGAAAAATATGCTGTTATTCAACTAATCATATACATGACAAAACAACACTAAACAACAAAATGTTTCCAAAACTCTTGCTTTTTGATTTACACAAAGAAATGTTACACTAAAATTTTCATGATTCCCAAATATTGAAAATGACTCCCAAAAATACACACTGTGAGTCACCATGACTCCCATTTTTCAAAGTTTGTGTAAAACCCTGGTTTTCTAAATTATTTCCTACCGTATCGTGCATAGTTTTTATCCGCACATACGCCGATACGGCCCTTATCTGAAGCCCTGCTTCATTACATAACAATCACTACCCAATGCAATAGTTACCTATTCCTGGAGCGACAACCCTCTCATAGTGATACGGGTTGACGCACACACTGTCCTGCTTCAGGTCGAAGGCGTACTGACAGAACTTGACATGCTTCAGCTCATTCTTGTGGAGGTCCGGCCAACGCCAAATGCGGGCTTAGATCACATGTGGGAAGCCCTTCCTCCCAGCCACCTGAGATGGAGAGATAGGTTTATGTTGTTGTCTTGATCCAGCTACAGCATGCTTTTGTGGCAACACACATATTTAGAGGTGTGACGATAGAGAAAATTCACGATACGATACGTATCGCGATATCTTGGAACGATTTGATTCGATGCATATCACGATATGCTATATTTAGTTATTTTCTTTCAAAAAGTATATTTTGATAGCAAATAACAGTGTAAATTTTGACATACCCGTCAATTTCTGGTGAAAATAAACAATTATAAGGTCAACGATACATATCACGATACGAAAAAGAGTATCGATATATTTATCGTCAGATAAAGTATCACGATTATCGATACTATGATATATCGTCACAGCTCTACACATATTTATATTCAAAACAATTGCAACCTTTGAAGATCCAGGTTAGATTTTGTCTTCAGCAACACGTGCTTGAATGAGAGAGGGAGTTGTGTTTTACGAATCTTTTAGCAATATAGAGAAATTTCACGATACGATACGTATCGCGATATCTTGGAACGATTCGATTCGATGCATCCAGGTTAGATCTTGTCTTCAGCAACACGTGCTTGAATGAGAGAGGGAGTTGTGTTTTACGACTCTTTTAGCAATATTCCAGCAATATCACAGCAGGGGACACCAGAAATGGGCTTCGCACATTGTACCCATGTGGGGAATCGAACCCGGGTCTTCGGCGTGACAAGCGAACTCATTAACCACTAGGGCTACCCCATCGCCCCGACCCATGCTTGAAGCAAGAGACGACTAATGTAATCAAGTGGTCAGACTTGCTGACTTGGTTGACACAGGTCACCGTGATACCTGGGCCGGGGTCATGAAAAATCTTAAGTCTAAAATTTGCTTAGCACAAAAATCTTAAGTCTAAAAATATTTGCTTAGCTAAGATTTTAGATAAGACTGGATCATGAAACTGTCTCAGCAAAATCTTAGCTAAGACTAAGACTAAGACAGTTGCCATGGCAAGTTTAGAATGATGTAATCATGTCCGGTCACTCTTCATTAACTGAGGAAAATAGTTTAGTAGGAGGCACCTGCTGAAATGTTCCAAACAAGTCAAGTGACGTTGTCATCCCTGCCGCGGTGAATTTTAGTGGCTTTACGGTACGAAGGGAACTCAACAGTCACCGGAAGTTACGTAATGGTTTGTTTGTCAACACAAACACGTGCTGGGCTATCGTCTGCTAGAGTCACAGAGCTGTCAGTATGGCGGAGTATCAGCCTGGCTTAAATACCGAAGAGAAGAAAGAAGATGCAACTGGACCCGTCAAGAGGAGACAATCCTTATCGAAGAGGTGAACAAGAGGGAGAGTCTCCTCTTCGGAAAGCTCGACGGGTCCATTCGGACAAACAAGAAAAAAATAAGTGCCTGGGAAGAAGTTTCGGCGATTGTGAACTCGTAAGTTGAGATTAATTTGCTTGTATATAGAGATATAGATTCGATCACAAATATAATATGCAATATTTCAACCTAACTGAAATAAAATACTTCTGCTGATAAATTGTATTCATCAGACAACTGATTTATGAAATGTACAGCGTATCTAGTTGGGCGAATTGTTCTAATGTAATAATCAAAATAGACTGAGCTGAATGAGCACTTGTGGATTTATTCGTTTGGCGGACAAACTAATCCAATACTTGCCACCTTCATGCACTCTCACTTTATAAATGTAAAAACAAATTCTAACATGGCAATAAGTTTTAAAAGGCGTGAATGTCATCGAAAAGCTGCTATATCATCGGAAACTCTTCTTACTTCTTTCTAAGTAGCCGTAATCTATTTTCTGATTGGTTCATAATTTTGTGTTGACCAATCACAAGGCTGGTTACATTACATGTCGGTCTAGTTTTTATTTTGATTTCGCGTTGTCGTGTATCGGCTGCTATTACGCTTCAGTCCCGATAAGTTGTCAGTGAGAGCGACAACCACACATATATATACTTGAAATGTTCACATACAAATAGTATTTGTAAATCTGGATTGGTTTTACAGAAAAAGGGAAGTATCTAAGTTTCTATTTTGCATTTTTGATCCCGTGTTAAACTCGTGTTACTGTTAGTACTGTTACATGTTTTCGTGGTTCACAAGTTTTCTTGATCATTTCTCATTAACTATCTTAGCAATCTCCATAACTACAGGTAGATTTTGAGTTGCAAATTCATTTTGAATACTATGATCTTGATTTTGTTTAGAAACGGCAACTCAGAAATCAGATCAGTCACTGAAATGAAAAAGAAATACCAGAACATCAAACAGAAAGGTAAGTCACAATTTGGAATATCTAAATATTCTACAATAACATAGTCAGTACAGGAAAATAACAATTTAGGCACTATGCCCTTATTTCTGAACCATAATAACATTGTTGAATCTGGGCCGCGTAATTGGGTAATTTACACAGATTCCATTTACTGAAACCCAGTATATGCACATAATTGTTATCTTATATCTACAGTTTTATGATTTTGGAGTGTAATTAGTCTCATTATCATCAGGAAATATTTATCAAAGGTCCAAAATAAATGATAAAACTTAGATAGTAAATATTCTTTATTTATTACTAGCCCGTGGAAAATACTGTTGTTGAATGAATTAATGTTTACAATATGATAAGTAATTACAGTAAGAATTCACCAAGATAATGGTTATATGACCCATGGTGCAATGATCATTTAATCTGGAAATTTGAGGAATTAAAAAATACAAGTTCCCTCAATATCTTATATTGTAATTGTCAACATGAAGAGTTATGAATAGAAAGTAATAGTATTTGTTGCAATTATAATATTAAAATGAATGTTACAATGATTACAGCCAAAGCTAAGAGGAGCCATGCCATGCGGCCCCTTAACTGGAGGTGGACCCGTCCAGAGTCTCCTACAACCCCTGAGCAGCTTGTGCTACAGAACCTGGAGGGCAGGCCCAGTCTCTGTGGCATATCCGGCGGCATTGACTCAGACAGTAAGTGACAACACAGTTGCACAACAAACAAGAAGGAGGTGAAGTACCAAATCTATCATCTTTACAATAACACAGATAGGTTTTCGGATAGAAATACACATTTTTATTCTGTAAAAGCCACTGATCCATCTTGTCAATCAGTTTTTATTTTCTTTGTAGTGGAAGCCATAGGTCCAGGCTACATTTCAGTATTTCAGAGCTGTACATATGTGCATATATAGTTCAAAATGCAATAAGTTATTTACAAAGTGTACAAAAGGAAATATGATATTATTGACATATGAGTGAATCTCTAAGTTTCATTGCTTTGTGTTTATAAATAGCAAGTTTTTACAATTCTGGATTGCAAATTGACATGAGCATATTAAACTTACGAATAGTCAGATTTGAATAGAATTTATGTGGTAAATACAAACATCTCAGATTTTGATAACATATACATACAAAAAAAATGAAATTAATTTTGAATAAAGTTATCTTTACATACAAAACATAATCTATATTTGATCCGGGCTTGGTTAATATATCTACAGGTTTCAATTTGGAGATGGTGTGAAGAACATCTGACTTTATCAAGGGCCGATCGGAATCTTGAAATTGATAATTCTTTATGTAAAATTCAACATTAAATGAGATTTTAAAACAAAAATAAAGTGATAATTTAGGAATATTTACAAGCGATGTGTGACATTCTTGTTCATAACTTGCTCTTAGTCTAAATCGCAGTCAGGGTTTTTGAAAAAGAGTAAGAGTACTAAGTCAGTTAGGTAGATTTAAATGTGTTGATAACCCCAATGCATTGTTATGTACTAAATGTTTCCCGAGCTATAATGAAGTCAAATTTCACTTTTTGTTTATTTGTCCCAAGCCGACAACTGTTTTTACCTGAATATTATAATAATCCATTTGCTTAAAAAATGTTATCAACTGCTACAATGCAGTAATTAGAGATGCTATATCACAGCATAGATATGTCTATAATTTCTAAATTACCCATTATTTCCCAGCAGATGCTTACATGTACATAAACATGCGTGAATCTGAACATAAAATTGTTAATATTGTATATGAACTACAACTAGGGCAGGTTTGACTGCAACTGGTAGCGATGCAAGGCATAAGTCATTTTACATTACCCATTATTTCCCAGCAGATGTTTACATGTACATAAGTATGCCTTGATACATAAAATTGTTCATATATATATACTAGTACAACTACAACTAGTGCAGGTTTGACTGCAACTATTTTTACAATACCCATTATATATATTGATATGTGACATGCCTAATGAACAACTGATTTAATTACCTATCTCTACATGTAATTGCATACTAACAATAAACAACAAATGTTTTGTGTTTTTTCAGTTCCCATGACTTCTGAGAGTTGTGACACAGAGGCGGCGGCAGAGGAACCAGAATCCACGCAGATGTTTTCATCAATTGATACCTCATTTGTAGATTTTTCTTTTATTGATACCAGTATTGTTAACCTACCAAAATCAAAACCTAGGACTGAAGAATTGATTTTGAAAGAAGAACTACAAAGGGTAAAGGAAAATAGAGTTCTCATTCAGGAACAGACTAAATTGGCAAAGTTACAGCAGCAGTTGGTTTTGCTACAAATTGAAAATGCCCAAAAATCTTCTTTTTGAGCTGCTGTTGTAACTTGACCAATGTTGTATTGGATGGGAACTCTTTTTTTTAAACGTATTCTATGTGTACCTAAAAGAATGTTATTATCATCATACATTTTAACAAAGAAATATTATACATGTGTAACATTGGTAAATCCATTCTCAAAGCCTAAGATATTCCTAAATTTAGCTTCAATTGTTAAAGTCATTTTGATGATGGAATTTGACTCTATCTGTTTAAAAGTTACTTAAATTATTCTGGAATGTCACAGAAATGGGATATATTTAATGCACACTTGTTAAACAATAAAAAATACAAATGTAAATAGCATTGTCATAGTCTTTGCTAAATAATCATAATTGTCACTGAGTGAAAGTATCAGTCTTGGCTATATGGTAAGTTTATGTCATTACCGTATCAACTTTGGATAATCTTTGATATACCTTCTACCACTATTTGACTTTTGTGACACTTATCATAATGTGAGTGTTTTTCTGTCTATATTTGGAAAGTACTATGAGAGCATGACATAATTGCACTACTGTACCAATGCAGTTTCTTACTCATGGCAATATAACATGGTGTCGGATCTCTTAAGGCCTGAAAAGGCACAGTTTTCTGTATATCACTGATGTCATAAACATAAAGTACTTTTCCTACTACTACTATTGTTATTAGTATCAATATTAATACTATCATCAAATACAACAACGCAGCCTTGTCCATGAACTTGTTTCCATTATTAAGTAGATACTATGTCCATGAATATATCCATTCTACATGAACTGTAATTATCTACTGTTGACAACCTGGGGGTTGTTATTTCTTATGTGCGTTTGCTCCTCTTCAGTAATAGTATTGAAGGGTTACAAGATGGTTTGGATATGATGTATATTTAGTGTTCAAAATGGGGATTGACTATTAATACTGAAAACTCTAAGATTGTTATTTTTCAAGCAAAGGAGGTAGGCAGGCAAAGTCAGAAACTTAGACATTAATGGTTCAAATCTTGAGGTTGTCAGAAATTTTAAAAGTCTTGGTTTAATAGTTTCAATGCATGGAAGTTATTCCTGGCTCAGAAAACTTTGTCGGAACAAGGTCAAAAGGCAGTTGGTTCTTTATATAAAAAATTTCATATCAATGCATATGTTACTCCTGATGTACAATATCAGTTATTTCAATCAGTTGTTTGCCCCATTCTTTCTGCTGTGAGGTTTGGCGTTTTATGGGAGCCGATGCCATTGAAAGGGTACATTTAAAATTTATGAATCATATTCTATATGTGAAAATGTCAACTCCGTCATCATTTCTATATGGAGAACTGGGTACATATCCTCTGAAAGTTTTAAGGCTTGTACGTATTATCAAATATTGGATTAAGATTTTGAGAAGTAACCCAAATAGATATATTGTTCTGATATATAATTCATTATTGGATAGTTTGAATGTAAATCCTAATACTGAAAATGGGGCAAGTTTGTTGAGAGATGCCCTTTTTTAGGTTCGGTTTTGGGTTGCTCAGTTTGTTCCCAATACACAGAGGGTTAGAGATACATATTCCCAAATGTGGAAACATCAGTTGTCAACTTTAAGTGAAACCAGATTGTATCTTTATATTAGGAAACTCTTTGTTTCGAGAAATATTTATCTAATATTGATGTTAAAAAAATACAGAACTGCCATGACATGTTTTCGTCTCAGTTCCCATATGTTTATGATTGAGAAAGGTAGATGGAGTATACCTAAAATACCATTTATTGATAGGAAATGTGCCTTTTGTCCACATGGCATTGAAGACAAGTATCATGTATTACTTATTTGTCCTAAGTATCAGGAAATATGTCAGCGTTATTTATCCTCTAGTCTCCTCTGAAATGCAAATATGTTTAACTTTGTCAGAATGCTGAAAAGTGGAAATGAAGTTACGTTTAACGTTGACAAATGTATTTATTATGTAATGTATGAAAGAAATAAGCATGAATACTTATAAGTGTATACTATATCTACCCTTGCTCTTGGACAGTATCATAATCATTGCATAATAATAACAATTTATACTGTGTGTATAATCCTGACATGTACTGAAGATCACTATATTGTCAATGACATGTATTATTTTAGTTTTTGACCTAATAAAATCTTGTCTTGTAACCCTGGTGTGATGTCATTTTGTCATTATTACATGTCTCAAAAGTGTATTTTTTAACATTTCATGAACAATTGCAACTGAATTACACTTTTATTGGCAGCTAAGCAGCTAACAGGGATACTCAAGCAAAGTAAGTTTGCGCAATTACATCTCGGATGCCAAATCCATCATTGACATGGAAGTCCACAAACTGATTGTCAGGGCCTTGCAGTGTCAACTCTTCCACATCACTGATAACTATATCAGACTGTAATATACCAATGTTGTGTAAGATAACACAAGCCACAATGTACTTGCAAGCCCTTGGTGGATTTGTTCTAAGACCTACAGAGAGACAAGGAAATCGTCTTTTCAATATTCCAAAGGTCTGTTCAACCAGTACCCGTGTCCTACTCAAAGCTGAGTTAAATTTTTCTTTGTGCCGAATATTATTAGTGTTGTTGTATGGCGTCAATAAGTATCTCCGGCATGGGTAGCCTGAATCCCCGAGAAGAATGCCATCGTGTAGTCCTGGAAAAGAATCATTTCATGATGTCAGTGAATTGAAATAGAGGAAAAAGTGTCCTGTATCCAAAATAATTCATAATTTCATGTGATTGATATGAAAATTTCAAATTTGTCAAATTTCATGCTTGTTATAAAGAGAATTTCATGTACATAGTACAAATACTTTACCATTTTCAAAGTTTTCTGACAATTTGCTTTCCCTGAAGATCCTCGAGTCATGGCATGAGCCAGGCCAGTTAGCCACGCAGTTAGTGATGAGGAAATTGGGGTCGCATACCATCTGAAATCATTAAAAGGACATTGAAACTTTTCTGTTCAAGTTAACTAATTAAAATATATTTCTACATAATTTTGACTAAATTTTTCGATAATGGTAAAGTTGTCATTGCGGTTTGCGTAAAATATAAGGTGTAACAGAATCATTTTTAAAAAAATCGTCACCTATGAACACATTCAAGTAATTTGTTTTGTTTTATTATTATTACAATTTATGGAATTGTTTTGGGGAAGGGTAGTAAGTCTGATGTTCAATACTCTACAAATTGCAATACTTCATTGTTTATGTGATTATGAATAAAATTGAGAATATTTTACATGAATATTTTGTAGTCTAATAATGTTTCTCCTTTAATAAAAATGTTTTTAAAATTAAAAAGATGGATGGTACATTGCATATAGGTCAGACAATCAACATTGCTCTGGGTTACCTGAACATTCAAGGAATGATAACCCTTTCTGTTTACAAAATCAGGCTCATTTTCAACAGGTGCGATAATCCGAATCTGGGTGCCGTCGATGCAACCTGCAACCTTTGGGAAACCTAAAATTGAAAGAAAAATCATAAAGATAATTTTACCTTTTAACATTGTTTGCCTGTTATATTATCATTTTTTTAACTTATTTACGGTATTTGTTCACACAGCTTTCAACAGCCTGAACAGGTGGCATTAGTATCGGCAATTATAGACTATGGACAGTTCGCACTCAGAAAGACTTGTCCCTGTCCCGAACGATAATCTTCATTGCGAAATGGTTTACATGTAACACATGCAAGATTTTAGTAATACTTAAAATGCACACATTAAAATATATTTTTAGAAATATTTTATAGTGCGATTTTGAATGGTTACGAATGCGTTGTCAATCAAGGGGACGTCACTCTAGTCGAGCCGGGCATTTCAACAGTGTCATGGCGTCTGTTTTTGAAGTGAGAATTATTGTTCGATATTATAGAGTAATTGTAAATCTATATTTATGAATCATTGTGCTAAAGAATAATTAATTACCTGCGATTGCGTGAAACTTCCTTTTCACGTCTAGTAGACGCTGGCCACTTGGGAATTTGATAAAGGTGGCGGCGTGACGACAAATGGCATCGGCCACTCCCCGAACACACCTACCCGCCGTCGACTTGCTGATGTGTAAGGCTTCACCAACAAGCACATGAAATGCCCCTGTTGCTACGAACTGCAAAAAGGTTAGCACCTGCAGCACAGGTGGAAGGCTTAAAGATCTCCTCGTCTCGTGAGCAATTTGTCCACTAATGAGGTTTACCAAAAAAAATATTGTTGATCGCCTAAAACGATACCGATGGAAAAGTTCCTCGTCCCCATAACATTCGAGAGGGTTGAATCTATCCCTAAATTTTCTTGGGATTCGCTCTTTCCTTTCCTTCTGTCTAACAAGTCGCAAAACGCGTATCACCTCCGCCATGTTTGCTAGGAATAAAATTGACTTAAGACTGGTAGGTAGCAGTCTCAGGATTTAAGACAAAAAACGATCTTAGTCTTAACTTTTAAGACTAAAAAATGTACGTGATCTCCGATTTAAGACAGTTTTTTGGACTTAAGACCAAAATGACATATTTAAGCAATTTTAGACTTAAGTCACTTTCATGACCCGGGGCCCAAAGTGAAATGAAACGGTGTTTACCGTTGTACTTAAGAACATTTCACTCATATGACAACGTGTATGTGTGTGTATGTGTGTTTGTTTGTACTAGCCCAGGCTTTAGCTGGTTTTATAGTGCTACCTCACTGAGATACCATGCCGCAGTGAAGCATGAATACACCACTCAGACACAATATACTGACTCCGAGCCAACTTGTTGTACCTATTCATGCCGAATGCCAGGCAGGGAACAACAAGTACAATATTTCTTTCGGTATGACTCGGCCAGGGATCAAACCCCGGCCTTCCTCTCGGTGGATGCTCTAATCACTACACCACGGAGGCTGCCGATATGGAACAAACAGCTTGCATGGTAGATACCAAATATGCAACTTGCAAATTACATTTTCAATATTCTACAAGAAGTGAAGTATAAATGCTGAAATAATCACATTTAGTACTTACACATACACACCTGGTTACATTAATGGATTTTATATACACTGTACATAAATTGGATACAACTCAGCTTGAAAACAGCATAAGAATCTATACTGAAATATTGCATCATAACATAATAAGGAGGGTGTTGTCCATAAAGTTAGCATCATGCCTTTCTTATAACTCATGTATTTACATATATTACAGACATACGGCTTAGCTGTGTAGTCCACAGGGTGTGAGTGATTTAGGTATGCCTAATGCTATCTGATCAGTATTCAGTGTTTGTAATGACATGTGGTGAGGTGAGGTGAAATTGGGTTTAACGTCAGTAGCTTGAGAATATTTTGCTCATATGACGACGTGCATGCATGTGTATGTGCGGCTGCTTGTACTAGCCCAGACTGAAGCTGGTTTTATAGTGCTAGCCCACTGAGATACCATGCCGCAGTGAAGCATGAATACCCCACTCAGACACATTATACTGACTCTGAGCCGACCAGTCCTTGTTGTACCCATTAATGCTGAGAGCCAGACAGGGACCAACAAGTACCATATTTTAACGTCTTTTGGTATGACGCGGTCGGGGATTGAACCCGCGACCTTCCGCTCTCTGGGCGGACGCTCTAACCACTACACCACGGAGGCGGTCTTCTTATTTGGCCTTACAAAGGCAAGTATTATTTTGTGTAGCTTGCTGATTAATCAGAACATATCGTTGGCAAGTTGTTTACGTTTCAGTGCAGGTAACATTTCACACAACAAGCCCATGGTAGCAAAAGGTATTGATATAGATTTCCCATATTAAATCACAATTTTGCGAAGTGTAAAATGAAAATAAGTCTGTCTTCATGCTCATAAATAGGGTACATAGACGACACACAATGCATGCAATTGTTTTAACATGTCACGGAAGGTCAGAAATCACTAATCTTCTCTGGTCAAGCGACATTTCGAAAAAATGGTTGTAATGGTTGTCAAGTTCAAAAGAAGCAAAGACTGTCTGTGTGTACATTTACACTTTGATTGACACCACAATACAAAGGCGTGGATGACAAGTGAGCTATTTTGTGATTGGTTAATGTACTTTGACAGACAGATGCGGTCACGTGGACTTAAGTGATTTTGCTTCTCAACAACGCTGCAAGTCACAAATGTGCTTCGCTAACTTTGCGAAATGTGACCAAATACCACGTCTCATATTCAACCGATGGATGCAGGAATAATTCGACATTCAAGGCATACTACAATAGATCGGCTTATTAGACATTACCTCACCTGTGCTGAGGAAGGACGCGATCAGACACGCCGGATCAACATCGCGGATGTCTCTCAGTAAAATTATTCATGTGATGAACGTGGGAAGGTTAAACTAACACAAACAACAATGAAAGACTTTTATGACTATAGATTATTGTACAGCGTGCTATTCATTTGTTTTATAAGCTTTACATTAAATGCTTATTTGTTTTATCCAGATTCGTGTAGTTTTTGTAATAGTAAGGAAGCAACTCTTGCTTGAACTTGGGTCTTGATTCAGTAGTCCGATCGATTAGCAACCGGACCCAGTTTGCTGAAAAATCCAACCGGTCCGGATTAACGGTGGGCTTCGCTGTACGCTGATTTATAGAGATAATGGGGCTCTGTGTTACCATGGTATTGGAAACTTTTCTCCTCTAACCACAATGTTTGATAACATTGTT